ATCTCTGTGTCAAAAAGGTGCTGTTTGTGTTTTTTGTCCATTTTGTGGCAAATGTAGTTTCGTGGTTTCATGTTTGGATGGGGAAGGTGAAGCGAGAGAGTTGCAATCATTATATACAGTCCAGTTTAGGGTTCAGGTCTTCTCGAGTGGATCATAAGAAATCAGAGAAGTCTTGAGATGATTACCAGGGCAAGAAAGAAGCAAAAAGAAGGTTCTGTTCTGTTACACAAATGTGTATTGATTCTGTTTTGTATTTGTTTTTTGGTGAAATATTGGACCCTTTGGCTTCCAATTCATCTGACAAGTTACATATGTAAAATCACTTGTAGCACTACTAACAACTCATTACATTTGAAGCGTGAAGGGGGCCTCAACCAGACAAATAAATGCAGTGGAATAAAAAGTACAATGGTTATCCCTCAATGTAATGAAATACAAGTTGTGTAAAGTACTCATATACAAGTACCTCAAAATTGTACTCAAGCACAGTACTTCAGTAAATGTAGCCTACCACCACCACTCTCAGCCAGCATAATCAAATTTCCAACCATAAAATAGCTTACAGTTAATTTGTCTGTTCAAAGGAATGGGATCACAGTTCATGAGCAGAACATGATTTTGATGTTTAATTCAGTTTGATGACAGAAAGAACATTTTACCCCCTCTGGCCGTCATTAGTGTTTATAAACTGACACTCGACTCACAATTTGGAGCACTGGGACAAAGAATGACTAAGAAAAACTGACTCCTCTCCTATTCTCTAATATTCAAGTACATATTATTGCAGACAAAGATGCAAATGTAACCTCTTGTACATGCATGTTCACATACAATACAGCTCACAAACACTCCTACATCTTACACACATTTCCCGCTCCCAGGCTTCTCCTCTATAGCTCCCGGTCCTGTGCTCCTTGGTGTGTATATTTTGTTTTGCTATGCCTGTGTGTGAGGACAGAACAGGAAGAGATAAAGGCAGCCCTGTCGGTGTGTTTACAGCCAACACTGCTAAACAGAGTAGCTGTAGAAGACGAAAAGGAAGAGGCCTAATGACTGGTGCTAAGCAGCCGGACCCCTCTTGCTGTGAAAAATCACCTCAGTGCCAAGAAAGACAGAGAGAGAAATACACAAATCTTAATCTAGACTGCAACAGAATGCTACAACCACCTTTTGGACAAAGGAAGAAATGCGTATGAGATTCTAAATGAGTTTTATGTGTTTTCAAGACTGGGGAGACATCAAACAAAAGTGCAGCCTAGTGTTAGTTTAGTTTTTTTTTTCCAAGTTATCCAACTGCACAATACAAGTCAATGAAAAGCTAAATGGATATTGGTCAAAACATATAGCCATATTTTAACAGAAAGATCTATGTTAGGCTCACCCCATACCATTCAGATCTAAATTAAGTAGGTAAAGGTAGATCAGTGTGAACAATAAGTCCACATTTGTGATTTACAAGGCAAAATAATGTCAGGCTATCAGCTTTACAGGCTATCAGCTTTAATATAATAAGCATATTTCCAAATAGCTATTCCTTTCTGTACACAAATTCTGCATTTGCATAGGACCTCTTCTGCCCATTGCAAACCGGCTTAGCAAGTGTGCAAATTAAAGACACATGTATAGTCATTACATTTACTTTGTAAATTAATCTAAAATCTAAGAAATGTCCTTTAAAAGCATGACCTTGTACGTCCCAAAGTAAACAATACAGGTCAAAAACATCAAAAATGCAGGTGATAGCAAGGCATGTTAAACATAAACTACAGTTAGTGCACACTGAACTTGTCTGACTGCATCCTCAAAACTCTACTATAAACACAGGAAGTCTACCTGTAGACTCGCGCATGCAAATCTGGCAAACTTCTCTCTCTTTCAAACACAAAGTTTCTATCATAGGCTTTAATTTGCATTCAGAACAACACTGATGCTTTTGATTTCAACTCACACAGACTACAGCAAGTGAAAGTGTAGAGTACTTGTATCCATCGTGATACTTTTATTCATTTATTTATATTACAATTTAAGAAATAGTTCATCCTTACGTATTTGCTTTATTCATCAGCTTAGCTTAGCAGGAAGACTGGGCTCTGTCCAGAGGACACACAATCCACCTACCAGTACTTCTAAACTAACTAAATAATATCTTGTTTGCTCCGTACAAAAACTGGAGTTTAAAAACAACAAATTTGCTCTTTTATGGGGGAAGTGTTTTTTTGGCTTGCATCAGTTGCCAGGCAACCAGCAGAAACTTGAGGAAGTTACCAGTTAATGTGGTTTTTGTTTGATTAAACAAACAAGATATAATGTGTTGGTTAGTGAGCTTTACTGGTGCTGGTAGGGGAGTTTTATTATCTTTCAACAGAGACAGGCTAGCTGTTTTCCCCTGTTTCTAGTGTTTGTGCTAAGCTAAGCTAAGCTAAGCTAACTAGCTCTGCCAAAACAGTAAATAAATTTTGCTTCAAAACCCATGTTGATCATATTTGATGGCATTTCGCGTCTGCACTGCCTTTTATTTGGGCATGCGGCATGACAACATAAAATTTCATTGAAAAGCTTGTAAACACATTATGTCCACTAGGCTTTCTTTTATTGTCCTTTGAGAATCATGAAGGTATGTGGCTCCTGTATTGTGGGAAGCTGTGACGCATGCACGGTCAGATTCTTTCTCACACACACGCACATGCATGCACGCACACACACACACACATTGGTGATTTTACCAGTGTTTTGTGTCAGCTAGACCTACCGGGAAAGGTCCTAGTATGTGGGACTTCCTGTTTGCGACACTTTTCCTGTTGTGGATGATCTCCTCCTGAGCTCCTGACAGCTTGTACTCAATTATGACTTCTGGATTTAGAGGATTCCAGCAGCGTCTGCTTTTTATGATGACACTGTTACTCTTCATACATACCAAGTGAAATATTTAGGTCATTTGATTGTTCAAGTTCTTTTTGTGTGACTCAGTCATGAAATATGCATTTGCCGGCACAAAGAGTCCAAAAGAATTCAAAGCCATAATGCACATGGGATAAAGGGGCATTGTAGTTAACTGATATTCTACATAAGTAAAAAGCCGATCTTTTTTCTTTTTGCAAGATGCCTTTGTTGTTTGTTCATACTGATTTAACTCACTATTTTTCTTTCACACTTTCTCTAAAGCCTCATGTGACTGCAGCAAGAGGACACCGGCCCATATTTCAAGTCATACATAGGGTGATAATGCTGCCACCACCTTCCACTTGTTACTGAACCAAGGAGTCCCCTGTCACTCAACCTTGCCACCTAGTGGAGCTCTGAAGGTTTAACTCCCTCCTGGTCAACAGAAATCTTCCAGCCAACTACCTCCCTCATCTGGGGAGATGCCTACCCTGCAACACCCTCAGATCCTATTTATTTTTTATCTTCTGAAGACAACACAACACTAACCAGTTTTGCACAATATCAAACATCGGTTGGTGAAGTAATTAAAACCTCTTATTCAATTTCAAGTGTCTGCTGGATCTTGCAGAAAGAGAAGCTGCCAATTAGCAAGTCACAAAAGAACTGTTCTTTGACTGATATATATGTAATATACACCCATGATCCATGGTTTCAGGCTAGAGTTAATGGTGCCCAAGAGCAGGAGACAAGTCTCATCCAACAAGAGACAAACTGAGCCACACAGGAGAAGCCACACCCCAAAAGAGACTGCACAAACAAGAGCAAAGCCAGATGGAACTATCATCATATGGCACGACATTTGCAACTACACCAACAACAACGCAGAATGGTAAGAATTCTGCATTTACCAATAAAAATTGGTAAATGCAGCCTGGTTTGAGGTGGGACTGAGCTGACATTGGGTATTTAGGTGCTTTCCACAATGACAAGGATAAAAACACCAGTCCACGATCAAACCAGGAGGTTGCTTCACGATCACAAGATTGGCAGATTAAGCAGGATGTGATTAATTTTCCTCTCTTGCAGACACTCTGACAAGCCCGAGAGGCAAATATACCTCTCACAACTGGGAGTTCCTGGTGGCCGTCCTGGTCACATCCATCTCTCTCTCCATTCTCGTCGCCCTTCTGGCTAAATGCCAGGTGGTTCGGCGTTACCTGGCCAGCTACCGGCACACACGGCTGAGGGAGACAGACACTGTTAGCCACTGTGACCCATCAGGTTTGTTTTGTACCCATAAAACATACTTTAATAAAATAAACCTAAAATTTCTTTGTGCAGCGGGTAAAAATGCTGCTTTATTTGACACTCAGACACAGAGTGTACAGCCTGTTTGTATTCAGCATTGAAAACAGTGGTGGTTCACAGATGATGACCTTAAACATGTAGGAGTGATGAACCTTTCTAAACCTCTTCCCTTGGTTAGACAAGAGGCGATACATTTTGTTTTACAGAGGTAGCACCAATATTAAGTCAGGAATAAATATTCGAAGCAGGAAACATAAAAACAACAATAAAAAAAGTCCTCTTGTTGCCATAGTGTGTTTGGCAACTGTCACTAACCAATATTTTTATATTAACAATCAAATAAGTGTAGTATAATGTATAAGTGTAATGTGAAATGTGATGCTTAACAAACAGAGAATTATCATCCAATTATTCAGTTCCCCTAAGCCTTATGGAGCATTTTAGTGTCTGCCCAGCACCAAATAGTAGACAGATAAAGTCAGTAACTGTGTGTGTAGAGAAGCAACTGTTTTGTCTTTACAACTTTATATGGTGATGTCAATGTTTTGCTGCTCCCACATGGCCAAAAATATCAGCAAGGGTGTGGCTAACATCAAGAACAATAAATCTTCGTGCTCATTATGTAAGTGTAATGTCATGTCCACACTATTTTTTTTTGCACAATGTGATTATGGCCTAAAAAAGAGAAACAGGAAGAGACAATACACATGCTTTCTACAGTGAAGTCTGTATTTGCAAGAAAAACGCTACAGTCAAAAACTAAAGAGAACATTTCGAAAGGATAGAATATGTGACAGCATCAATACTGATTTTCTTTCAGACACACTCCCTTCTTGTGAGCAGATAAAACAATAATCATTTAAAGCTCATTTGGGAGTAAAATGTCTGTCAAACCTCATCTGACCACACAAATCCAGTTCATTAGTCACCGTTAAAGCAGCTTCAGGCTGTAGGCTACATCAATGTGACATTACACATCTAGACAGCTAGAATGACACACACGACTTATCTTTAAATGATTGTTGGTCCTAACGCTGTACGACTCTTGTGTTCCTACTACTGCTTCCAGGCCTGGACGTGGAATTTGCCATGCACGGAGGACGTGGAAATAACCCTCACTCATTGCCTCCTGTGTGCGAGGAAGATGACGACGGCTTCATCGAGGACAACTACATCCCGGCCAGTGAGAGAGCGAGGGCTGAAAGAGCAGCGGAGATCATGGAGGACACAGAGGAAGAGATGGATGAAATCGAATTTACCATCGCTTAATACGACGGCTGTGTAAACTCCCTTAGCCACCAATTCCACTCCACTCCTTTCTTTTGAGGAAGATTTGTATTGTCCATCACAAAATGGGTAGTTGGTAAACATTGGTTAAGTTTAGGAAAGCATAAAAATGTAAATACCAGCACACAGGATGACTTAATGCAAGGTGAATTATCATGGCAGTTTCTTAATGTGCAATCCATCCATAGAGTATCCATAAAAGCCCTCATAAAAGAGCATTTCAGAATATACTACTTACTGTAGGACAGTGAATATAAGTAATATTCATAATGCCTTGTTTGTCAGTAAATTGGCATTAACAGAGATTAAAAGGTATTTTGTAAATATGAACATTAACTAACCACCTATGTATCTGTTGACAGTTTTTGGCTAGACTGATTGGTTAGTTAATTTGACAGCACAGATTGTGCACAATATATACGTACAATTTAGACAGTAGTGCTTTAGTTTGCTTTGTTTTATGAGTGAGCAGCGAGCATGAGAGTATACTGTAATATCACCGATGACTAAGTTGGCCTTTAATTAAAAGCCTATTCAACGGCTCACATTTTAAAGACAGCTCTGAGTTTTCAGACAGATCAGTAGCTTTATGAGAGGAAAGCAAATTTAAATGTATATCTTGTGTTGTTACACCATCACTGTACATTGTGATTTTTCAGAGGTTACTTTCAAGGACTTCTTAAGCCTTTTACAGATTTTCTAATGTCCTCAGAAAAGGTACAACTGCTGCTATGTATAAAAAGTAGGCCAGCTCAATTATAGTAACAGCATTAGCCTACTTGTAATTACTTACTTCCTACTTAACTGCTATCTTTAGAATAGTAACAATGGAGGTTTTTCACAGCGGCAATTTTAACATGAAACAGTAGGGTAAACACAGGCGTTATGATACTAATTAGGGTTCTCTTCCATTCACAACAGAGTCAGGATGTTGCTACTATGAAAATTGGCTCACTGGAAAGGCTCTGCTATACTAAATGGAATGGGGCCTTAATTAGTAACATAGGTAACACCTGAGTTTATCCTACTATTTCATGTCAAAATGGCTGCTGTGAAAAAGGTCTACAGACTTGGGGCTGTGCATGAACCCTGACTACTTTAATGCAAACTCTGTAAAAATTATAAACAGTGTGAACTGAGTAAAAATAAAAATGGTCACTTAAACTAAAAGTCAAATCTTTTTTTATCCAAACAATGGATGTAACTTTTAAGGACTAGTTTATCCACCATTTGGTCTTGACTGTCGTTTCCCTCATTGGTCACAAAGTGGAATCATCACACTCACCTTTCTTTTTAAACTTTACAACACTGGCATCAACAACAGTAATTAAGCTTGACACCGTGTCCCGAAAAGAGGCCTGGGGTGTTTCGGATCCTCTGAGACCATGCAGCTGATGAGAGCGGTCTGACAGGTCTGTGTGGAGCTGTCAGGCAAAGGCTCCTACCCGGAAACACAGCGCGTCAAGTTCACACAGAGGAGCCGGAGCGAAACCGGAACCATCGCGATTCTGCTTTCAAAATAAAAGTGCAGAATTTGAAATTGTTAGCTCTAAGACAAATTAAAACAAACTAACACCCCTCAATATAAATTAGTATTATTCTATTACGTTAGCCCACTGCTTCAGTGTACAATACTAAAGGGATTTATTATTATTATTATTATTATTTATTATATATTAAATTTTATCGAATTTAGGAAATGGGAGGCATTCAAGTAAAGGTACCAAATTATTATTTAGTAAACTATTAGGCTTATGTATCAAAACAGGGTGTATTAGTTCAGATTCCCAACTTTCAGAAGATTATCTATGTGTAATATTTGAATATGATGACAGACAAATTAAAATATAGCCTCATTTTTGATTGTCAACTAATTTTAACTACTTTACATAGTGTTGGGTAGTTTAATATATTACGATGCATCATATTTAACGAGATTATCATACATTTTTAATGTAACTGGTATCTGCTATTCTCAAATAAAAGTAGGCTAGTGGAGTAAAGTACAAAAATGTGATTTATTTAAGTAAAAGTACAAATACTCCATTATTCCAGCATTCAAAATTTTACTTAAAAAGGACAGACATATTGGCAATAAAATGTGTTTGATGTTTCAAAAGTACTTTCGATGCATTAACATACAGACAGTACTTAAAGCTGCAGCTCCTCCTAGTGCTCCTAATGCCATTTGCAAGAATCCACCTGAACGAAAACAACCAATCAGAGATTCACAGGTTATCTATCTCATGCACTACTGTCAGGAGACACTGAACATTTTACAAAAAGTAATTTTTTATAAAAGTTACCTACTGCAGCTTTAAATGTCATACCTGGTCAAGGTGGAGCAAACTGCTTTTTTATTTATTTATGCTTCAATCTATTACAATGCAACTTTTTTTTAATTCATTTATATATTTTGTATGTAAAATCTACTCTACAAAGTAAGGGTTAGGGTTAGGCTTAGGTTAAAAGGGTTTCCACTGCATAAAAGTAGGATGGTGAGAAGTTAAAAAGTAGCATGATATGAGTTTGCTCGAGTGAAGCACACGTTTCTCTAAAATAACTAAAATGCAGTTTACTTTTTTTAAAATTGATATTAGTTGAATTAAAGTTTCAAAAAATAAAAATCCCAGCCCCTCACAGCCGGATGTCGTATTTGTGATACTGCAGGTAACTTGATACTCGGCTCCGGAAAAGCAGCGAGTTGCAGTTAAACGCAACGACTGAAGACAGTGGAGGAGAGGAGGAAGGAGGATGATGGGAGCGAGTTTTATCCCCTTTGAGTGACCCATATCTTCCAGTAGACCCAGATATTATCTAGGCTAGTTCTTGTTCTCGAGGATTTTTCTCCACCAACATGTCGGCGTCTGCGATATTTATCCTCGACCTGAAGGGAAAGGTAAGTTTGTAGCGACTTGTTGTGGCGGGGGAAGTTGACATTAAGGTTTATCAACGAAGCACCTGCTACAAAAAAAACAAACAAACAGTATGTGAGCTTATATAAAGTACAGAAATGTTGCAAAATGAAACGATATTTATATTTTTTTTTAAAGGTGGACTGTAGCAGCTGTCCATAATATACCAGAATACTTCCATTTCCTGACATACAGGACACTTTAATGCTGTCTGCCCTGTAGCCCTCATGTCAGAGCAGTCAGGAAGAGAGGCTCAACTTGTTCAACTCGTTTTCTCCAATGTTCAGTATACACAGAGGGCTTGTTCTTCTGCAGCGACGCAGCTTTATTGTACGGGATGTGTCCTGTTTTCAAAGTTTTCAACTTGACTTTTTGTAGCCCCAATAAGTTTATGTCTTACTTAATTTGCTGAATTTGAAAAGAAAAAAAAAAAAATTGCCAAAATTCGGGCAAGAGGTTGACATACATTAGAAGTGCATATATTAAGAGGCATAAGTATAGTTAAGACACTTGCATACATTATTTAGTGTTGGAACTATTAGTTGATTAAGCAGTTAATTGATTGACAGAATATTAATGCCATTATCTGGTCCCCAGCCTGTCAAATGTTCTGCAACTTTTGTCTGTATTATTTAAGTCTGCAACTAACAATTTAAAAAAAAAAAAGCAATCAACTCATCTGCCAGTTATTTTCTTAATGAATGGTTCTGCCTATAAAATGTCAGAAAATGTCTTTTTAGTTTCTTGAAATGGCCCCCACTCTGGTCCAGACTGAAATGTCTATATATAACTATTAAACGGCTTGTCAAGCAATTTGGTAGACATTTGTAAGTTTGTAATGACACACTCAACTGACAGTTGGATACAATGGAGAAATGTCCACGAACACGCCCCAGGGCACAAAGTGAAGGCTTCAAATTGCTTCTTTTGTTCGGCCAACAGTCCCCAACCCAAAGATATTCAGTTAGCTTCCGCAAGTCTAAGAACCCCAGCAAGTAGTCACCTTCGATTTAGATTGTTGTAAGCACTTTGGCTTAACAATGATTAATCGCTCTATCAAAAGTTAGTTGAATCTCTTTGGGTTTTGGACTGTTGGTCAGAAAAAAAACAAGCAACAAGGATTCTTAGGCGCACATTTTCACAATTTCCTGACATTTACCATATAGCCCAAACCATTAACCTGGAGAGTAATTGGCAGTTTAATCTATCATGGAACTAACCCTCAGTTGCTGCTCTAATAGTGTCTGAAAATGTCATTAAAAAAAGAAGCAGTCTGAAGTGTAAAATCAAAGCATTTGAATCTTTATGTACAGATTCTTTAGAATGTGATGAATAAAAGAGGACACAGAATTTTCACAGTTTCTTACGTCATCAGGTTTATCTAAACCTCACAGGGTTAATTTATTTGAAGGCAAGAAAAGGAATTGCTGAAGAAGCCTCATGCTTGACAATACCCATCAGGGAAAAGGATCAGTCAGGATGTCTGATTGTACAGATTAAAGGTTTTCTCTTTTCTCTCTTTCTTTATCTATCTATCTCTGCCCGGGGGCAAATCAGTAGCTCTTCACCTTCAGTCCCCTCCCTCCCTCCGTGCTGACCAGGCGACCAGGCCCTCTGTCCTCTGTTACAGCAGTGAAAGCAGGAAAACCAGCTGTGGTATTCAAAATACACTTAAATAGATGGCAAAGAGGGTGAAAATATTCAAAATGACACCATTGATGAAACATAATTGAATAGGCAAACTCATGGACATCAACAAAAAGCGTGTACAGGTAGACAAGTCACTTCACGCACATTTCTAGACACAGTTGAGAGCTGCTACAGAAGCCAGTTTCCACCTCTGCCCTTTACCCCCCCCCC